GCCAACTCTCACGAATTCACCTTGAGACACACGCAATTGACACTTTTCTCACGCCACACATCAATTTTGTCACGCACAAAAATAAATAAATCGGAAAGCAAAGAGGACAGGGAGACTAGACAAAGCAGGTAAGTTATGATATAAAAAAAATCTCAGATTCTGTCAATTTTATTACGCAATTCAAACAATAAATTCCGTTTTGGCGCTTGTAAATGTTACACGACAGATCCCTAGCGCACGTGAACCGATCATCTACTAACTAATAGTAAAAAAACACAAACACTGTTGAAAGATACAGTATGCTACAACTTACCAAAATACAGAGACAGACAGAGTACACAGCTTTATTACTTGAGTAAAGTACAGATTCCCCTAAAGTAAACTTAAAGTAAGTAAAAGTACTACAGTCAGAGGTTTACTTAAAGGGTTAGTTCACCCAAAAATGAAAATTCTGTCAGTATTTACTCACCCTCATGTTGTTTCAACCCCGTAAGACCTTCGTTCATCTTCGGAACACAAATTAAGATATTTAAGATATTAAGATCGCTCCTGCATACAGTCTATAGGCTTCTTGAGGGACTGGCTCTTGCTGTCCTCGAAAAGTCATTAAAGACATCGTTAAAATAGTCCAAGTGACTACAGGGGCTCAATCTTAAGTTTATCAAACGACGAGAACACTTTTGTGCGCAAAAAAAACAACAAAAATAACGACTTTATTTCAACTATTCACTTCCTTCTCCATGAGCCTGTAAGTCAGTTAACGTAGTGTGATTTCGTAGAGCTACGTCACACGTAAGCTCACTATTGGCCGACGCTGGTCATGTGTGTGTGACGTACAATAACAGAAGCTTACGCTATTAAACTAGTAACCTGACTCGCGCAGAGGGAGAAATAAACGAATAGTTGAAATAAAGTCGTTATTTTTGTTGTTTTTTTGCGCACAAAAGTGTTCTCGTCGTTTGATAAACTTAAGATTGAGCCCCTGTAGTCACTTGGACTTTTTTAACGATGTCTTTAATGACTTTTCGAGGACAGCAAGAGCCAGTCCCTCAAGAAGCCTATGGACTGTATGCAGGAGCGATCTTAATATCTTAAATATCTTAATTTGTGTTCCGAAGATGAACGAAGGTCTTACGGGGTTGGAACAACATGAGGGTGAGTAAATACTGACAGAATTTTCATTTTTGGGTGAACTAACCCTTTAAGTAAAAGTACTGAAGTACTTGTTTTAAAAGTACTTGAGTATCAAGAGTACATTTTCTAAATATTGTATTACTACTGCTACAGTGGTTACATTTATGACCAGAAACGTCTTACTTGGATTTATGAAAAATGTTCATTTTAATAACTTGGGAGAATGTAAAAGGAATTTATAGACAGGCGAGGTGGGGCCACGGGTTGGCACATTCACAGGACGGACCTGCTGCATCTTCATCCATAGTTTTGCCTCTTATCTAAATCTGACCATGGAGTTGATTTTGACGGAAAGCTGAAGGTGATTTCTGATTGGCTGTCCCAGTCAGTGGCTCCTGCACAATCCAATCAAGTTTGAGAGGGAAACAAACAAATTGAGGGTTTCCGAGATTTTTCTTTTTTCCATTTTTTTTTATGGCTACTCGCAGATATGGATAGAAATGTAGTGGAGTAAAGAGTACAATATTTCCCTGCCAAATGTACTTCCTGAGAACACCCCAAAATGACACTCAAGTAAAGTACAGATCCCTCAAATTTGTACTTAAGTACTGTACGGCTCTGCCAAAATGTATTCCTCATATAATATCGACCAATATTTTCTTTAACTCTTCCCTAAACTGAAATGTAATAGTGGGCTGTACTTTCCACACGATTGACATCAGGTTCAAGAACGCCCAAAAGCCAGGCGAGTTATTCTTGTATGGCAGTTTGGCTGGTGGTTTTGTTGCCCGCCTGCATACTGCCTCCCATGGCCGAAACTGGTATTATGACACCTGTCGGGGCGTGGCTAGTAATTTAGCATGCTAATTCAGGTTGATATCTCTGCAGCACTATAACTTCTCATTTTTTAATGACATCATTACCCTTATTTCTTCTCATTCTTTTGATGCGTGTTGCTCATTTTTGGGATATTTGTACCTCAATTCTTACAAATGGCATCTTTAACAAGGATTGACTAATATAGTAACAAATATATTGCTCACTGTTAGTACCTTATACTAACAGTGTAAAATTAGTGCAGTTTTTTTTTCTTCAATAATCTTTCATATATATTAAAAGTGTTAACAACCATTTTAATTATAGCTCAAGTGTCTAAATACCTTTTGGGAGCTACTTCATGTTTTCTATGTATTCACACAGTCAAAAAGCTAACAAATTAACAAACTGACACGAGATCTCAGCACTTACCCAGCATTGTGAAGGTCTTTCCTGAGCCCGTCTGTCCACTGAAAAACAAATACAACGTCATGAATCGACCAGGCTCTAACATTTTTATACAAGCCACACAGGAACTCACTAGGCAAAAATGGTGCCATTGTATCCGTTCATGCACGACTCCACGATGTGTTTAGCCACGCTGGTGAAAACCTCCTCCTGAGAGACACAAAGAGCAGTGGATAAGATGTTGCTCGACTGATCTTCACGCAGAGACACATCTGAAGCCCTGTCTCACCTGGCTTATGTTTATATCAGCCACATGGTCGTAAGTGAAGGTCCGAGGCTCCGGTTTGCAGTGCAGTCTGACGGTGTGCGGCGAGGTCACGGTCAGGCACAGACTGTGATCGCCGTCTGTTGATAACCCGGTGCCTTGAGTCAGTGGCCGTACCCGCACAAACACCTTGATGGCATCTCCATCACTGCATGAGGATGTTAGAGGAGGAAATGAGTCTCGGATGTTAAAACACAAATCTGTTGGATCCACATTCAGTATAAAGGAATGCAACCGTACAAATTTGTATGGTAATTTGACACCATTTTTTTTAAGCTGCGTTGACTTCTTCAATAATCTGACTTCTTTAAAAAGAGACCAGTCTGTATTCCAACGCTTGATGAACTATAACCATCCAAGTTGAGATCTGTGCTCAAAAATGGAGTGACAGTTTAATGACCAGCGAAGATAAGTGCAATTAATTTGTGTCTACCAGACAACCTGTATGTTCTCAGTTACTTGATATAATCACAAAATGGAACAAACTCGGTGGCAGTGCTAGGAAGATTACTTACAAATTGTAGTTAGTTGCTGATTCTAAATTACATGACAAAAATTGTAGTTAGTAATGTATCCTAGATTGCTCAATAATGTATTCTGACTTCTGTTTGATTATTTTTGACCATACTCGCCCGGTCATCATATTGATCTGGATAGGATAATCGTGTACATTATTGATGAAAAATACAAGAATGAAAATATATTACATTCTTTATCAACAAAAGGAAGTGTTTCCCAGAATGGGGTTCGTGAATTTAATGAAAAGCTATTAAGTAAAAATGTTAATTAATAGATCATTTGAAAATAAAACATTTACTAAAAAAAAAAAACTATATTTTTAAAAAATATTTACCTGCATGTCATGTGACCATTAACGACATCAGAGAACCGTGAACTTCATTTTATTATTATTATTGACGTATTTTTATTATTGACCTTTTAAATTAAAATATAGCAGCTTCCTTTCAGAATTAGGGCAAAGAGGTTCAGCTAACCAAAGAAAACAAAACAAAACAAAACACGTGGTTAAATAACTCACCGAAAGATCATTCAAATAATAATGAATATGTTCATCAGGAGCTGATTAGATATGCAATGTTGGGAAAACACTTCTTGAAAATGAAACGATTCTCAGTTTCCAGGGATCGGTTCAGTGGCTTTTTTTTATTTTTATATTGCTCAATTTTAGGGATCCGATTACGTAATCAATCTTAACATGTAATCAGTTACTACCCATCACTGCTCGGTGTCAGTTATGAGGAAAATGTATAAGACATTTGCGGAAGTGTTAGCACTAACGTTAGCAGGTAGTCAGCAGTGTTTACTATCTTTCGGCTGTGCGTGTATTTGTATATAAGTTACCTGTTGATGTTTGACTCCGCGGTTGCTGAAAGGAAACATAAAAGATAAAAACACATTTATAAGAAAACTATAGTAAACATGGTTTTAATATTAAGGACAACAAAGCTCTCCAGTAAACATTATAGTAACGTAAATGTCTTCTGTTTATTCGATGTAATAAACAAGGTAAAAATGTCGGCTATTTGCTTTAGTATCATATGCGAAGATTGAGATCGTTACATGAACTCATAGCATGAGTAAATTATCCTCACCTTTGCCTTTAATATTCATGATTCATTCCTATATTTTTTGTCTCTCTCTCACTATATTCGTGGAGGATCGATACAAAATTTGGCGCCTAGTTCTTCTTCTTCTTCTTTGGGCTTTAAGGGCAGCTCGTAACCTGGATGTCGCACTACTGCCATCTTCTGGAGTCATGAACTCCTGCATTCTTCACACTACTTGGATATTTCCCCCATCAGTTCTGTTTTAATTATGACATTGTTCAAAGTGTTCATTATCTTGCCCTTTTCTGACAAATTCCAGTTTTTCAAGCGTCAACTTAAAAATGTTCATTTGTGTTTATCTGAAGATGGTGACCAAACATCGGTAGCCTGAAACAGTACCCAAATACAGGAACTATGATGAAATGAGTTATATACTTAAGTAAATATTTTCATTAAATTACTTTTTTATACTGCAGTTATGCTTGTAAGTTTTCTTTAAGCTAAATTATTTAAGCAAATAATTGTCTACTATTTAAGATATTTTGCTCCATGTTCAAAAAAAAAAAAAAAAAAAACCACTGACAATGTTCAATAACAATAATATTTATTAGACAATAACATTAAAGACAACATTTTGCACAATTTTTTATTCTATGTCACAAATTGTAAATTCATTGACAGTTTACTAAAATGCATGCAACCTAGACAGCAACATAGCGGCCTGGGCCATCTGGGCCATGTTGAATCCACGTGTACCAGATGTGGGCCGGATCTGGCCCGACTGGGATTACTAGTTCACCCAAATACCTCCATTCAGCACATTGCTTCTCTAAAGACCTAATGGTGATAAAGGTGATGATTTTCATCTTCCGACTTCAGCTGAAGAGCCGACATGCATTATTTTCCAGGCATTACTGTAACCACTAAGTTTTATAAACAATCTGTATTAACCCAAACCACAATATAAATGAAGAACATCCTAGCCGAGAAGTTGTGGACGCAATGATGTTTATACGATACTATCTATATTCTCTCCCCACGCCGAACATTTTCTGCATTTTTTCAATTAAAAAACATTCCTAGCACTCTCGGCCACCGTACAACTTACTCATCAGGACCAAACATGCCCCCACAAGGAGAATGATTTAAAATATTACCAGACATTTTGTCCCAATAACATAAGGTTTACTAACCACATGATTTCATTCAGCATGCGCACATCCAAATCAACAGTAGTGCCATTTTGCAGATTTAACTGAACAGCAATCCCTGCAAATGCTTTTGCAAAACAAATGTAAGAATGTTTGTCATCCCAATAAAGCACCTTAAAACTGAGAGGGCAAATCACCCCTAAAAGGGCAACAGTCAGTGACAGCAAAATATAAGTGGGTTTCATTATTCAAATTCATTTTTGTACCACTTTGAAAAAAAGATACATTAGAAAACATTTTGAAGTAGATCAAAACAGGTGGTTTTTTTATGTTTATTTTAGTAACAATGAAGTTATGACCATAAATAATTCAAGACTGGAAAACAACTCTTTAGACACATTTGTGGTGGCTCTTAAAAGAGCCGTTGTGGGTTGAATGAGACGCCGGTTTAAGCGCGCTCTCCGCGGATGCGGCGGGCCAGCTGAATATCTTTGGGCATGATGGTGACCCTCTTGGCGTGGATGGCGCACAGGTTAGTGTCCTCGAACAGACCGACCAAGTAAGCCTCGCTGGACTCCTGCAGGGCCATGACAGCGGAGCTCTGGAAGCGCAGATCCGTCTTGAAGTCCTGAGCGATTTCTCTCACCAGCCGCTGGAAGGGCAGTTTGCGGATCAGCAGTTCGGTGGACTTCTGATAGCGGCGGATCTCCCGCAGAGCCACGGTCCCGGGCCGGTAGCGGTGAGGTTTCTTGACGCCGCCGGTGGCCGGAGCGCTCTTACGAGCGGCTTTAGTAGCGAGCTGCTTCCTCGGGGCTTTACCACCAGTGGATTTACGAGCGGTCTGCTTGGTTCTTGCCATTGCTGCGAGTTTGTTCTCTTTGTCCTGCTAACGCTGGAAATGCTGTTCTCTGTCTCAAACGCCCGATTTTAAAGCATTGGAGCGCCACGAGCCCATTGTGCGAGATGACGCAGGCCTTGTGATTGGTTAGTACGTGACGTCAGCGCATGAGTGCCAGCCAATGACTGCGCGTTTCCTCTTTTTCAAACAAGTGGAGGGTTTCCCGCTCGAGCTCCTTTGTTCTGTTGAATCCAACCAGAGTATATGACACCTACCCGGTCTTTATACTCTAAATGTTGTATTTATTTGTTCTGAAATACCCGCCTTAATTCACAGTGGTTGTGCAGATTTCGGATTAGATCAAAATCTTATTACACTGTATAAAAGCACTGCAGCGAGACACTGGGGTTTACATCTGTCCCGTGAGAAAGAGGATCAAAAACCCAGAGTAAAGGCCATTGCACACCGAGTCCGAAATTCGCATCCGAAATTTTCGCACGTTAAAAAAAAAATTCGACCTCACGTTATGTCAGTCACGCTTGCACACCGCCTCCGAAACTTTCGTCCGTCATAAAATTAATCGGATCGGGTTCGATTTTCTGCGTTTTTCGCATCCAGAGCCAGCATTTTGAGAGGTCTTTTGACAATTCAGGGCCGGGGGGAGCTCGTCCTCAAATCATTGCACATATGCGCCGTGCTTTCGGTTTCGGTTTTCAATTCGATCAAGTGTTTATGTTCTCTTCTCTATATTGGATTATGAAATTAATAAACCTCCCCTTTCAATCAGATTGAAATTTATTTTATCGAATAAGGTGTGATTGAGCAGCCTATTCGATAACTAATGTATTATTTGGGCACAATACAGTATACACAATAACAGCCTAGCTGTTCTGTCTGCCCAGCGCTTCCAACGGGCCGCGCGCGGGTGTGTGTTTGTCCGTCCGTGTGTGTGTGTGTGTCCATACCTGGTCCATTTCAGACACACTGCCAGTCTCCGTTCAGAATCGATTGGTTCACGGAAATTGGTGGTCTTGTTTTTAATATGTGGCTCCAGAATCGCTAGCAAAGCATCGAACTGTCCCACTGACATTCTGAGGTAAATTTTGAATCGCTCAGGATAAATTCGCAACTCCTTGATAAGGAACTCCTCTCGGCGCAATTTCAGGATTGGATGGACGTAATATTTTCTCTTTCTTCCCTTTTCAATAAGAGAGAGGGCAAAAATCATCCTCACTGCTTGACGAATACATTTGGTATTTTTGCGTTTTTCCCCGCAAAGGTTTAAGAAATACGCAACGGACTCGGTGTGCAAGGTTTCTATGCGTGACGAATTTTTAAGCTGACGAACACGAAAATACGCATACGAATATTTCGTGCTCAGTGTGCAATGGCCTTAACACTGACCAAATTCCATTACCATGAAATTGAGATGTGTATTTCTTTTTTTTTTTTGGATGATTTATTAATATATTCAATATGTTATCAGAGCTTGGAAATGGGTTGGGTGACACAAGCACACATTAGGAGACCATCATGTATTTTTAACTACCTAGGAGTTAAACTCCATGTATTTTAACTACCCAGCAGACCATGTATTTTCAACACACCTAACTTACTAACCGTCGATGATATCGAGCAATCATGTTCTCTTGCTTTGATGGGTCATTTTTCTCCCTGAATCAATAGTTTTTATGGCGTTTGAAAGTATTAACAAAGAAAAGCACTCTCTACCAGATAAAATGGGTGGCTCTTAAAAGAGCCTTTTGATATACATTTAACAAACTCGAGTTTACTTCGATTTGGCGGGTTTCTCGGTCTTCTTGGGCAACAGCACAGCCTGGATGTTGGGCAGCACGCCGCCTTGAGCGATGGTCACTCGGCCCAGAAGTTTGTTGAGCTCCTCGTCATTACGCACCGCCAGCTGCAGGTGACGGGGGATGATACGAGTCTTCTTGTTGTCCCGAGCGGCGTTTCCTGCCAACTCCAGGATCTCAGCGGTGAGGTACTCGAGCACAGCCGCCAGATAAACAGGAGCTCCGGCACCGACGCGCTGGGCGTAGTTTCCTTTGCGCAGAAGCCTGTGAACACGGCCGACGGGAAACTGCAGTCCCGCCCTGGAGGAGCGAGTCTTAGCCTTTGCTCGGGCTTTACCGCCAGTTTTACCTCTTCCGCTCATGTTTAATTCGTCAAATACAACCGTGTCAATGTAAGAGATGGAATAAGATGTATTGGATGGCAAGCCACTCACTCTATTTAAAGGAGAGTGCAGGTCGCCCATTGGTTTAGAGTCTATAAAGATACAAACCAATCACTGGTGTTCTCTCCAAAGCCCAACCCCCTATTCTAGCAGGAAAAAGAATGTGTCAAGTATTTGTGACAAGAACTGCCATTGAAATATTTCTGATAGAAACTCATGAAATAATTAATATTAATCTAACAATGTTTCTTTCTATTTTTACACAGTTAATATGTGTTAAAAATGCTAAAAAATAAAATGGTGAAATAATTTAAACTTTGTTCATTTAAACTGAAGCTTTTCAGGCAATTCACTTCCATATCAACATGCTGCCTAGGGTTTGATACGCACACGTTTTAACATGTATACATGCACACCATAAATTCTAAATAAATATTTATATATGGATATTATACACTGTTCCTACACATGGCACAGTGTATTCTGTGCACAATGGCCTTCTGATATGTTATATACGGTTATATATTATGTTCCATTGCAGTTTTATCAACACCCATATAGCCAGATGTAGGATTGTTGTCTTTTTGGCCATTTTTAATATATTTTTATATGTATAAAATAGATTACACAACTTGATTGTTTCAAGACAAGGTAACTTATTTTTGACAAAAAGTATTTTATAGTTTTTGTTTAGATTGCACACGTTTAAGTGGTCAAAAGTAAAATCTTGACTGTTTCCTTTGAACAAAAATCAAAATTCATGTATTGTAATGATTTCTGTTAAATTTGAGTTAGTGAGTGGCTCTTAAAAGAGCCGTTGATGGGGGGAAAAAAGAGAGTGGACTTAATTTTTTGAGAGCTGCCTTTTTAGGCTTGGCAGCTTTAGGCTTTGCCTTAGGTTTAGCTGGCTTTGCTTTTTTAACACTTTCAGCTGATTTCTTAGTGGCTTTGGCAGCAGGATTCTTTGCCATCTGGTGCGATTTCTTGGCGGTGGGCATCTTTCCCGCTATGCTCTTGGGCTTTTTGGCTGCAGCCTTTGCTTTAGGAGTCACTTTCCTTACCGGTTTCTTCTTAGTCTCGACTTGATGCTTGTTGAGCCAGTCCCTTTGACCTGCACCATGGTGCCTTTAGTCATTTAGCCATTTTTATTGATGATGTTCAGATTAAGCCTTGAGATTTGTTTGACCCCACGTTAAGCTTTCATTTACACATCAGTCAGACTGTTAAATCATGCTTCTTTCACCTGCAGAATATTGTCCATATACATCCTTCTCTTAGCTTTGGAGATGCTGAAACGGTCATTCATGCTTTCATAACTTCCAGATTGGATTACTGTAATTCCTTATACAGCAGCCTGCCCACCAAAGCAATACATCAGTGATACAAAACTCTGCTGCTCAAGCACTTACACGTACAAAAAGTCTGCACATATTACCCCAAAGGCTTCCTGTGATCAATCGCATCCAGTTTAAAATATTAGTCTTAGTGTTGTCACAGTCCCACAGCTCAATACCTCACTGAGTTAGAGCAAATATATCTTCCTGTACGGCCTTAGATCTAGCATCAACAATTAGCTTGTCATCCCCATCTAATGTGGGTGGTAGGGCTCTTAATGTTGTAGGCCTGAAAAAAAATGCACTGAATTAAGATGTTTGGGACTTTCTATCATTATAGGCTAATAATTAGATTTCTAAATCAACCCTTTTTCTGTCTTTTCACACAGTCTTGTACACTGGTTGACTAACAGCATTTGAACAAGAGGTTTAAAGTGGCAGGGAATTTTCTCCTGTCCACAGGGAACGCTGGGGGGCGTTGTTCAATGGATTATGCTGGCAAAAATCAATTAGCTTAAAACTTCCTTGAAAGAATACACGGAGAGTTTACTTTCTGAATTTTTCAAAATTGTTCACGGAGATCTAAGATCTCCCATCAAGGATTTAATATTTAAAACCACATAGAATCTGAGGTGTTCCTTGAATCCTGAAGATGTTGGACATGCTCTAACATTTTTACTTATTTCAGCTATTTACAGCATAAGGAAAATGGTTCACAACCCTGCATTCAGCTCAGATTGTATTACAAAAATAATGCTACATCGATTTTTTTTTTGGTTTCATAAAAGCAGTGTGAAAGACAGTGACCATGGTCAAAAAAAACTGCATTTAGCACATGAGGAAATATTGATCTGTTCCCTAAAGGGTCTATTAAGGGTCGAAGTGTCTGAGAATGTGGAGGAGACTTTTTCCATGTAGTTTATTTATAAAAATAGTACATACTCCAATTACACACACTCTTTTGTATTTGAATTTAAAGGGTTAGTTCACCCAAAATTGAAAATTAAGTCATTAATTACTCACCCCCATGCTGTACCAACCCCGTAAGACCTTCGTTCATCTTCGGAACACAAATAAAGATATTTTTGATTGAATCTGAGAGCTAGATCAGTCCTACATAGACTGCCTAAGGGACTGCCTCTTGACGGCCCATAAAGTCATTAAAGAAAAGGTTTAAATATTCCATGTGCCTACAGTGGCTCAATTATAAGTTTATCAAGCGACGAGAATACTTTTTGTGCGAAAAAACATAAATAACGACTTTATTCCACTATTCCATTACTTCCTTATGGGCGCATGCGTGAGAACTGAGACGAGGACGTTCTCATTCGTCTACTTCTTGTTACCGGCTGCTCACCGCTTAGGAGTTTTACCGCCCCCTACCGTATAAGATGATGCTGATATAGCTGGAAGCTGGACATACGCTTTTCAATGTGCGTATTTTCCGCACTATAAGGTGCACTTAAAAGCCTTTAATCTTCTCAAAAAACGACAGTGTTCCTTATAATCCGGAGCGCCTTATATATGGATCATCATTCATTTTATACGGTAGGTGGCGGTAAAACTCCTAAGCGGTGAGCAGCCGGTAACAAGAAGTAGACGAATGAGAACGTCCTCGTCTCAGTTCTCGCGCATGCGCCCATAAGGAAGTAATGCAATAGTGGAATAAAGTCGTTATTTATGTTTTTTTCGCACAAAAAGTAGTCTCGTCGCTTGATAAACTTATAATTGAGCCGCTGTAGGCACATGGAATATTTAAACCTTTTCTTTAATGACTTTATGGGCCGTCAAGAGCCAGTCCCTTAGGATGCCAATGGAAGACTGATCCAGCCCTCAGATTAAATCAAAAATATCTTTATTTGTGTTCCGAAGATGAACGAAGGTCTTACGGGGTTGGAACAGCATGGGGGTGAGTAATTAATGACTTAATTTTCATTTTTGGGTGAACTAACCCTTTAAGGCACATTTTTGTGCACCCAGGTTTGAACACTCAAAAATTGTTGTGCCATTCCTGGAAACAGTTCCTATGTAACTGAAGACACAAATGAACGTCACATGCCTGGCATTTCCATGGTGTTTGTTGCTTCTTGCCACGCACTGCTTTGCAATGCACGCATATGCGGCGACCAGCAGTGGCAATATTTCTGACATCAGAGGTCAGCTCAGCTCCTGGAACCGGCACATGGTCATTACTAGTCAGTTTTGGATCTGCTTTCTCAGACACACCGCAGAGCTCTGCAATAAGTTCTTCCATAAACACCTTGTGCGTCATGTTACCGTGTAGCTCCTGGTGCAATATGAAAGCGTTGGTGGCAGCAACGTCCAAGAACTGTAGAAAGACTTTTCTGTACCACTTCATGGTTTTGTGCTGTGCAGTGTAGTACTGCAACAGCTGGTCGGAAGGGTCACCACCTGTCATGTGCTGGTTGTACGCGGCAACTGGCGCAGGACATGGAAAAGACTTTGTCCTCCGTTTATCATGTGCTTTCACTTGTCGTTGCACACGGCCTCCAGTATAGGCAGCATGGATGGTGGAACAAACGGACACCTCTTGTTTGTCCATCCACTTCACACACACTAGAGGCCCATCTCGAATCCACCTGATGGATCCCCTGGTGGACTTTTTGGTCAGTGAATTAGATGAGCTCTGTGGAAAGTCTTCCCTAGAGTCTCTGTAAGTCCCACAAGCACCAAACTTCATAGCAAACAAGTCTGTTAAGAGCTTTGGACTTGTGTAGAAATCGTCCATGTACACATGGTACCCAGAGCCCAAAACTTTCTTGTCCAGGAGAGACATCACAGCATCATAAGAAATCCCACGGCCTGTGGGAAAGACGTTCTTGCCCGTGTACACAGAGAGGTCCACAGTATATCCATTCGATGAGTCCGCCAGGACAAAAAACTTGAAGCCCAGCTTTGCTGGCTTGACTTTCATGAATCTTCTCATTCCTGGATTTGCTCTGGATGCTACCAGTCTTTCCTTCACAGCTAAATTTCTTCTGGGATGATAAAAGGCTTTGCAAGCAAGACGGATGGAGTCCATGAGGGGTTTGACCCTGAAAAGCTGGTCATGTTCAGTTGTGCCCCTCTTTTTGTCATTTTCCTTATCTGCATCTGGGTGACTTATGTGCAAATTCCACGAAATGGTGCGGTATCGGTCCCTAGACATGACTGTGGCGGGAAAAGGCACAGAGAACAGACTGTCCTGTCGCCAGTAGTCAGCGATGGAGCCCATCTTCACCATGGCCATGTAGAAAATGAGTCCAATATAGCGGTACAGCTCGCCAACACTGACATCTGCCCAACTGTATTTGCGACCCTTTGCGAGTGCCCTGGCAGCCTGAGCGTTTGTGTTGTGGCACAGATTGGACACGACACTCTCTGAGAAAAACAGTTTGAAAAGACTCATAGGAGGGTGCGAGTCAGCCAGACTCAACTGCGGCCCAGGTTCCCGAGCCGGCACGAATCTCCGAGACTTTGGAGCCACATCGTCATCAGTCTCTTTTCTCCATGACAGAGTCTTGGCTGTCTTTAAAACAGGAATCTGATCACTGTCACGCTCACATCTGCGGGGGGAGGAAACAAAAGTGAGCATGTTGATAACACGATCACAACACCATTATCATTCTTATACCGAATTTTTGCCCACACATTAAAAGTGATTACACATTCAGCCATGCACATATACTTTCCTTATTTTATTCCACAGTATAAATGCAACTAAATTGAATCGGTCACTTGTAAAATGACGGGTTAAACGTTCACTTAATCACTATTCTCAACCGCGTCAAGCACAAATATTAGTAAACATTTGTTAGCTTATGCATGCACTAATTTGTCAGCTTGGATAACGCAAGTGATACACCCTTTTCACATATGCAGATTTCTCAGGAGAAAAAATCATCCAAGTTGGGTAAAATTCTTGAGTAGTGAAAGGCAGTTTACATGAAAGTTTACATTTTGTATTAATTTGCTCAAAATGCAACAAAAAACTTCACAATAGTGTTCACAACTTTCCAAAACAGTAAAAAAAAAAAAAAAAAAAAAAAATAGAACTTGATAGTCAGTCGAGAAGAGAGAAAGATGTTCATTTCAGAGTCACTCACGCAGCAGGAGTATTAGAAACACACTAGTTGTTTAGTAGTTTGATGCAACGGTAATATAATACTCAGTATATAGTAATAAATGCACATGCAATAAATAAATAAAATATATACACAAACTTTGCAGGATTTACGATGTTGATTAAAACTAGTCATCAGTCTATGAAAAGGGTCCATTGATAATTAATGGATATTAGGTGGCGCGCTTTGCGGCTGTTGATGGGACATCTACACACTTATGTTTTTCCACATTCAAAACATTTAACGTTACACCTCAGCAGATATGCTCCGTTGCGAAGTCTCTCTCTCGCTCTCCGAGTAAAACATACGCTAGTTTTGCGATGCATTTGTATTAAAAATCAAGGACAACACAGCTCACTCAGAAAAAATGACAAACTGGCAGATTTCAGTCATATTGTTTTGAAACAGCTAACTTAAATGCGACTTTAACAACTAAAATTAGACTTACTCTTCAGAAAACGTGTCCTGCGCTGGATGCAGGCCTTCGTCATCAATGTCTTCATCATCTTCTGACTCTGACGAACAAGTGAACTCTTCCTCGCTGTCTATGATCATCTGAAGAGCTTCCTCGTGTGCGTGACAAGCCATCTTGAGGAAAAGTCAATAAACCCAAACAAAAGTTTGCCGCCAGTTTTATCCTTATCCTGTTGATCGGGGGCGTTTCCCACATTCAGGTCATTATCATGTGAATGACGCGCTACCGGTGGGTGTGGCCAGACCAGCGCGACAACCCCCAGCCTGACCGAGTGGCAAAAGATCTGCTGCGTGACTGCATTTAATAGGGGAAAACTGCGGAAATGCGACTAAATCGAACAATTTTATCAATTTAAACTAAATGTTGGACTCAATATAGTGTTCCTTACAACTTAATAAAGATCCAGTGATCCATGGATATTGACATGCAGCCAGGAATCGTGTTGCCTGACATTTATGTTTGCCTGATTTCGACACCGGGGAAATAAAAGCAAGACCTAAACATAAAGCAAATTTGCCTGTGATAAATAAATAGAATATATAGTATATATTCTATATATAGAATAATATAAATAAATAAATATATAGGTAGGTCCAAATCCGGGTGATCACTTATTATCAATAATCAAATAAGTTAACAATAATAATTAACAATATTTGTGCTTTTCTTTTAATGTTAAAAAACGTTTAGTGGCATCCACTTTTTTATCTGTGTTGGATTATGGTGATATATTATGCATTCATCTGCTCAATGCCTTCACATGATTGACGCAGCCTATCATGCATCGTTGAGATTTATTACTAATTGTAAAGCTCGCACCCATCACTGAGCTGTATTCTCGTGTAGGGTGGTCTGGTTGGTCTGACAACACGGAGGCTTTGTCATTGGTATACATTTATATATAAGGCTATTCTTGGTGTGCTACCATCTTATTTATGTTCACTTCTTATGAAAAAAAAAGTGTTGGTAATTACTCTCTCCGTTCTCAAGATGTTGTTTTGTTTTCTGTCCCACATGTCAGTACTGTTGGGTAAAAAGGCCTTTGTTTATTCTGCTCCCTCTACATGGAATTTGCTGCAGAACAACTTAAAACTTAGTAAATTGATTCCTTTAAGTGTTTTTAAGTTGAGAATGAGAAGTTTTGTGTTGGACTCCCTCACATGTCAATGTTTTCGTTGAGATTTCATTTGTAAGTGCATAATCGGCTTTTATTTGTGTGTCTTTGTACGTATGTATTGATGTGATGTAATTTTGCTGCCTATCTTGGCCAGGTCTCCCTTGCAAAAGAGATTTTTAATCTCAATGGGTTTTTACCTGGTTAAATAAAAAAAAAATATCAGTGTTATATATAGCCTCTATATATATATATATATATATATATATATATGAAGAGTTCAGATGCAAAAGCCTCTAAGTGCCATTTGAAATTTTCTTCTAGAATGATCATTTTTTATCAAGCTTGTATATTTAAGTTCAGTGATTTCACTTAAATGGCAATGATAATTACCTATTAATTGTTATTTAAGTGAAATTACTGAACTTAAATATACAAGTTTGATAAAAATCATCATTAAAGAAGAAAATTTCAAATGGCATTTAGAGGCTTTTGCATCTGAACTCTTCATATATATATATATATATATATATATATATATATGCCTTAGATGCTAGAGGTCAGAGGAGAATGGGCCGACTGATTCAAGCTGATAGAAGAGCAACTTTGACTGAAATAACCTCTTGTTACAACTTAGATATGGATCAAAGCATTTGTGAAGCCACAACACACACAACCTTGAGGAGGATGGGCTACAACAGCAGAAGACCCCACCGGGTACCACTCATCTCCACTACAAATAGGAAAAAGAGGCTACAATTTGCAAGAGCTCACCAAAATTGGACAGTTGAAGACTGGAAAAGTGTTGCCTGGTCTGATGAGTCTCGATTTCTGCCAGAACAAGTCAGAATTTGGCGTAAATAGAATGAGAACGTCCATCATGCCTTGTCCATCCCTTTATGGCCATCATGTCCCCATCCTCTGATGGCTACTTCCAGCAGGATAACGCACCATGTCACCAAGCTCGGATCATTTCAAATTGGTTTCTTGAACATGGCAATGAGTTCACTGTACTAAAATGGCCCCCAGAGTCACCAGATCTCAATCCAAGAGCATCTTTGGGATGTGGTGGAACGGGAGCTTCGCGCCCTGGATGTGCATCCCACAAATCTCCATCAACTGCAAGATGCTATCCCATCAATATGGTGCTAACCTAAAGAATGATTTCAGCACCTTGTTGAATCAATGGCACATAGAATTAAGGCCGTTCTGAAGGCGAAAGGGGGTCAAACACAGTATTAGTATGGTGTTCCTAATAATCCTTTAGGTGAGTGTGTATCTGAATTGTCTAATAAAAATTACTCTACTGTCCTTCTAGACTAGCACCTTTCATTATCATTCAGTATCTCTGCGTATTATAACATCCTCTTCATCAAATGAAATAAATGTTTTAAAGCATAAAAGAAGTCGGACAGGCCTCATTAGATTATGGTTTGAGTTGCATCATTCTTAAAGCTACACTGTGTGATTTTTACCCCATCTAGCGGTGAAACGTTATATGACCATCCAGTGAATATTAGTTTCTGTTCCTCTCAATTCCGATTTCGTTTAACTCCTACGGTGGCCAATGTAGTCCAAGATTAACATGGCTTCCAGTTCGACCTTGTCCATGAGTGTTAAAGGGGGGGTTGACTGCGATTTCACTTTTTTCATTTTAAATAGTGTGTAATGTTGCTGTTGGTGCATGAAGAGTATCTGCAAAGTTGCAGCACTGAAAGTTCAGTGTAAGCAGAGATATCGTCTTTTAAAAAATCAGGAAGTATATTGCCTACAAAAACGACTCGATTGGGACTACAGCTTGGTTATGGTATGTCACTAACCCACACATTTGCATCAACCACTCCCGCAGAAAATAAGCAGAAAAGGGCATGGCCATATTTCAGCGGCTCCAGCAGCTCGTCGAGTGAGTTGTTCACGCAGCTGTCAGGTCTTATGTCTTCGAGCTTCCCACAGACGCTGTACTTCGTCAACAATGGATACTATTTCTGTTTGATTATGTTCCTGAAAACGACGATCGTAATCTAGCTCTCTGTGCTGCGCATTTTACGGAAGACAGCTTCCAGAATCTCCAACACCGGATTCAACAAGAAACTGTTACTAAAACATGAAGCAGTTCCGACTTTAAAACCAGAGGCAGCAGTTGTTGGGCCACAACCTGTAAGTAGGCTAAGACTTAATCATTTTAAATGTATTTGCATGTATAATTCCAGACGTAGCCGTTGTGTTTTATTTTTTTCAAATGCCAGTGCTGACTTTATTGCCACTAGGCTATTAGTTATGCTATTTTGTGTCTACGACAAACGCGTACAAACATGAAAGTACTAATGTTGTAAATGTATTTTTCATGTAAATTTGTTTTATGACGTTATTTTCGATTTGATCAAGAACGTAAACTAATGCCAACGCTGTTTGAGTATAACATTAGTAGCCAGTCAGTTGCTATTGTTGCCAGTCAGATGCTATTGTGTAAAACAAACGTGTATAAAGTTAAACAAAATGTGGCAAATTATCATTCAGAAACATTTATTAAGAGCCGTGTGTGGTGAGGTTCTGCTTGACTCTCTTCATCGCCGCTTTCTCGGTCTGATTCTGCCTCAAACTGATACTGCAGTTCGACACATATTTACATCTGGACCAGAGCTCATGACGTGCCCGTTTCGCCCTTAAAGGTAATGGGCGTTAACTTTCCGGACAACGTAAGCGACAGTTTAGCCAATCACAACACACCGGGGCAAGCTAACCAATCTGAGCCCACTACGTGTTTCTGGGGGAGTGTTTTCATAGACTCAGGAAGTCAACCGCTCGTTCGAGGACAGGGGAGAGTGCGGCTGACAATAAACGTGAAGTTTATGAAAAATAAGACTTTTTAAAAATGAAAAACCACGAATACATGTTATATTGCACCCCATGAACACAATCATGCAAAGAAAAAAAGCAGTCAACCCCCCCTTTAACTCAAATGTAAACGCGAAAGGCGAAGCTTGAATTAACGGGTATGTCCCTCTTTGGCTAATGTACATTCAAGATGGAGGGGCAACATGGCGACCGACATCAGAACCCCTTACCTGTATGTATTTTCAATGGCATATTATACACTCACCAGAATACTTTATTGCTTGAACGAAGTAAATATACATTAATGAGCACATATATTTTTGAAAGAACTAAGTGTTTTTAGCTAAGAATAAACTAAAAGAGTTACACAGTGTAGCTTTAATACTAGTGCAAAATGCCCGTGCAAAATAATTTGTTTGTGTGTGTTTTTAGCAATTGTTGGTTTGGTGCTTTTGCATTTGTGCAAAACAATTGCAATGGGCTTTATGCCCAGCTGCACTACTTCCTGAACTTCAGCCAGCTCCTTGTTTCCTGTCTGCCATTATTGGCCAAATTGATTAATTCAGGTGTACCTGACCTCAGTAGTCATGGCAATAATAAGACACACCTGAATTAATCAATTTGGCCAATAATGGCCTTTGGGCGCTTGAGAGCGTTTTGGCAGCGTAGCGTTTTTTCTGTTGAGACGTTTTGTTGCTATGATACAGAATATATGCAGCAGTTTGAATGTTGTGACAGTTGGTCGGTGGTGTGGTTTAGTCCCGCCCCTCCTCCACTGTGATTGGACGGCTGGGTAAAATGTGACAGTGATGAGCGCTGCATTTTATCCAAAGTTGAACATTTTTCAACTCCCAGCGACCAGTAAAAACGCTGGGCGCTCGGCGCTTCAGCGTGAGAAAAACGCTCAGCGCCTCGTCACGCTCATGGCGTTTAAAAAACGCCGCACTACCATAGAGAGCCTAAGTCCCTCCCCTTCCGGTCGACCACCATGAGACCTTATTTCGGAAAAATATTGAATGGTAGTCAATGGCGAGAGACAACAAATATTTTGATCTTGTTTGAATTGTGCCCGGAATTACACATATGATGTTTGTCAATTTAAAAGATACATTTTAAAGTAAAGAAAGTCGCAGTTTGATGTAAAACCGTTGAGGTATAAGACGTAAAATACGTAATTACAAAGACTACAAACCCCAAAGGCGCACATTTTCTCTCAATGAATGAAGCTAACTTTACTGAGGCTGTCTGTCATTGTTTCTACAGTCTTATGTTATAATCGTAACGTTACGCCGTCCTACCTGAGTGTTTTGTACAAGACTGCACACACACGAGCAGCGGATCTCGTTTCGCTTCCCGGGAGATGTAGTTCATAGAGCGATTTTCACATTAAACTAAATGTCACTCTTCTGTTGTATGACAAACTGCGACGTTTTTAACTGTCAGAATTATCTTTTAAATTGACAAACATCATATGTGTAATTGAGGGCACAGTTCAGACGGAATAAAAAGATAAGTTGTCTCTCGCCATTGACTACCATTCATATTTTTTCCGAAATAAGGTCCCATGAGCCGGAAGCGGAGGGGCGGGACTTAGGCTCTCTGAAAACAATTGAAAACATACGCCAGGGGCGTGGAAAAACGCTTTGGTGGACACACGGCCTTACAGATTCAGTTAACAAATGAATAAGAATGTTTATTTTTAAAACACAACTTTTAAACCACAAACCTCTCTAATGTTAGAATGTTGATTTTTAAATCACAACTTCAATGTGTGCTTCTATTACAGATATTTACTGATATCTTTTGCATTTCTAATCCAAACAATTTCAAACTCGGCACTGCACTTACTCGTGCCCGTAGCAAGACACTTGTCAAGTTTGAGATCCATTGGACTCACGGTTTGAGAGCATACACAGTAAAGGAAATGGACAGAGCGATCTCATTGGAACTCCATTGAGACGATTGAAGCCCATTTTTGGCGATTTTTTAGCACTTCCGTCCCTGACGCGCAGACTCAAACAGAGCTTGACTACGTAATGTGACGAGAGCAACCCATCTGTCTTCTAGTGCTGTGGCATGAGAAATCTGAATCTTTCCCTTCTGAAACATGCAGAGGCGGAGAGTGTGAATAGGAGCTGTCCATGAGCTAGGAGAAGGAGACAATTCTGCTAGGAATTCTGATTAATTATTTTGTCATTTTGCCTCCATGTTTCCCCGATTGTGCGCGAGCTTCTTCTCCTGTCCATACGGTAATCTCTCTACTGTGCGACACAGAGTCACGTGGGTATGATGCAATCGTTAGCCTACTTTCACTAAAACTGCTTCACCGCCTTCTTTCAGGGAGAGGACAAACTAGTTGAGCGTGGTGAAAAGAAAACCACTTCAGGTCTGGGCATGTGGAAGGGTTTTGGTACGCAAGTGGGGGGATGGCCGTATGCGACGTGTAGTCTTTCTCGTTATGTCTATTCCACAACTGCTAGCCAAAGAATCATACCCCAGACAGCAAACTGACATTGAATCAACGTGGAAACGACGTCTCTCATGACATTGAAACAACGTTGATTTGCTCATCGAATTAACGTTGAACCAACGTCAGACGCGGCATTCTTCAAAGCTAAATGAAATCGAAAATTGGTTTGCTTTCATAACGTTGAAACAACGCGTTGATTTCAAGTTGATTTTCCGTTAGTTTTGAAAGAATGACGCATCTGACGTTGGTTCAACGTTAATTCGATGAGCAAAACAATGTCAGATCAACGTTGTTTCGATGTCATATTTCCACGTTGATTCAATGTCAGTTTGCTATCTGGGACAATATACTATCACACTCGTTACATGAGAACTTATATAAAAAATCCACAGACAACATGTTCACATTCATGGCACAATTCAAACGGGATCAGAAAATAATTATTTTCTCTCATTCACTTGCATTGACGCTTTTTCGACCTACAGGTCCACTTGGAGTTTTACGGATGGGCGGGACTTACCAGCTCTATAGAGAGCCTAAGTCCCGCCCCTCCGCTTCCAGCTCATCGGACCTTATTTCGGAAAAAAATGTGTATGGGAGTCAATGGCAGCAAGAGACAACTTATCTTTTTATTCTGTCTGAACTGTGCCCTGAATTGCACATATGATGTTTGTCAATTTAAAAGATAATTCTGAAAGTCAAAAACGTCACCGTTTGTCAAAAACAGAAGAGTAACTTTTAGTTTTATGTGAAAATCGCTCTATGACGGCGACTTTCTTTACTTTAAAATGTATCTTTCAAATTGACAAACATCATATGTGCAACTCAAACAATTCAAACGAGATCAAAATATTTGTTGTCTCTCGCCATTGACTACCATACAATATTTTTCCGAAATAAGGTCCCATGGTGGTCGACCTGAAAGGGAGGGACTTAGGCTCTCTATCGACTGCTCCGATAACGTATCAACAACTCTGTTTACAGCAATGTTCATTAAATTTTAACTTTATAAAATGAAACCGGAGAGATAGTATTTTTTCTTATTATAGAGATTGAATTTTGACTAGTCATTTTTTACATTTTTTTTTATCTTTTTATAAAAAAAATTTTCTATTTTGAATGTACTTTATTTTGTATTGTGCTATGGACCATTTTATATGTATATATACTGTGTATGTATGTCCTGAATATAGATATGATGATGAGTTAATGAGTGAATTAACTATGTTCCTAAATACGATCCATAACTGTTGGGATTCAATTCAGTATTATGTACCGCTTCATCCTACCCTAATCATAGACTAAACCATTATACAATGTACTGTGTACAGTACACGTTTCAATCACATATATATGTAACGGAGGCCAGCTAGTAGTTGCTGTGCGAGTAAACCTCACTCCTCTGATCTCAATAGGTGCTCTAGCGACAGATGCTAGAGGCTGCAGTCTTTAGCCTCCTTGTTAGAGCGCCTGACTCTCATGCCGGAGACCCGGGTTCGAGGCCGAGTGGGACCCGGGTGTAGGGGTTACATATACACACACACACACACACACACACATATAAATACACACACATACACATATATATGTATATATATATATACACACACACGCACATATATATATATATATATATATATATATATATATATATATATATATAAAATATATATATATATATAAAATAAGTATATAAAAATAAGTATATATATAAAAAATATTATATGCATCAGGTTACCATAAGTTAGCTAACAACGTGTTTGTGACGTAAGCTATCGCTGCTATCCTATTATCTTCCAATAAACATTTAAAGACTAGATTCACGAGAGGTCGGCTAATGTGTGTAAAAGTAAAAAAATACTGTGATTTCATTCATTTACCAGCGAGCATATTTCGGAAGCACTGAAAATGAAGGGGGTTCAAAGCTGGAACTAGTGTTTTTAACTATTTTAACCAGAGAATGTCTAATTGAAGAGAATAGGCACTGGCTGGTTACTTCCGGGTTCTGGACTGGCTGCAGTAACGCGTCTCTGTCCATGCGGGGGCGCTCGCGGTCGAGTGCAGAATTAATGGGTGTCAATGGGGTTTCACCCCCAGAAATCCACTTTTCTCAGGATGTAATTTTTTGCCAAGTAATTTAAAAGTTGCATTCAAAAGGGAGGGCTAAGATAATACACTCAGCTGAAAATTGCATGTTTAAGTTCACTTATCTGTTCTAAAAATCCGTTCAAAAATGTGATGACGTCACACAATAGCAGAATGCTAACGTGTTCCGGCTAACAACGGCCTAACCTGTAAGAAATCAAAAGGGCATACGTACTCGTTCATTCGACTTTTGGCCTATAATCTATATTGAACTTGCGGAATCAACAATAAAATCTATGTTAATTTAACGACAAGCAGGTGAAAGAGACACATTCAGCCGTTTAGCCCCATAGACTCCCATTCATTCTGCTCTCGCCCGTGATCACCTCCAGTGGAATTCTAATGGAACTGCAACCAAGATGATATACAATGGGGCTAATAGGAAGTGCCAAGGCTCTCCGTTAGACGGGCTCTGGCTCCACCACGAAACGCTTACTTCCGCATTCCCAAGTTCCTATGGCGGTCATGTGAGTGTCGGAACTCTCTCTCTTCATGGCTCTGGCTGGAACTACATTGAGGGAAGGGGCGTTTTGCGCCTTGTGACGCGGTATCGGTTTCTATCAGGTCCTGTAAGTAAATATAAAAGCCACCTTGCAGCGCTGAACATTACTTGTGATCATCGTATTACTGTCTGTGAAATATGTCTGGAAGAGGCAAAGGCGGCAAGGGACTCGGGAAAGGAGGCGCTAAGCGTCACCGTAAAGTTTTGCGCGATAACATCCAGGGTATCACCAAACCCGCCATTCGTCGTCTGGCTCGCCGCGGCGGCGTCAAGCGCATCTCCGGTCTGATCTACGAGGAGACCCGCGGAGTGTTGAAGGTGTTTCTGGAGAACGTGATCCGCGATGCCGTCACCTACACCGAGCACGCCAAGAGAAAGACCGTCACCGCTATGGATGTTGTGTACGCGCTGAAGAGACAGGGACGCACCCTGTACGGCTTCGGGGGTTAAACGACTGAGACCAGGACAAACCACACAAACCCAAAGGCTCTTTTAAGAGCCACACACTCTGACACATAAAGGGTCTTTCCACATCGAAGGTAAAGAATAGTACCGTTCTTGAAAGTACATCAATAAGTATAACTCACGGAAGAAGGATAAGTCTGCAACAATAGTTCTTTTTTTTTTTTTTTAATGAATATGAGGTGCCCATTCGAAGCATATTATGTTGTATAATTGCATTAAATTCACACAAATATTAAAGTTTTCTGAAGCAAACTTTCTCACCACCTATTGCAATTTAAAGTGGTTTACAGAAGAAAAGAAAAAAAGATGATGGTGAAAATAAAAGGTAAATGTCAGCGGTGAAGTTGTTTTGAGGGACCTTCTGGTATGAAAGCTATTTTTTAAAGGGATCTTATTGTTGCTGTTATTCAGATAACACGATCATCCATAACATTGTCATTTTCTTCAAAATTATATTTAACTGAAAATAAATAGTGGGAAATGAACAAAGGAAACGGTGTCACTCAAACATTTGGCGGTAGGAGGGGCTATCATTAAGCCGCTCTTGGTTGGCTCTTGTTCCTCTCGTGATTCTTTGAGTTGTCCAATGAAACACGATTTTAGGTTTGGCCTATGAAAACAGACAATCAGCAGAATCTCGAGTCTCTCTGAAAATTTGCATAAGGAGCGAATAAATACCTGTGTCGTACTTGCGTTGACATTGAATCGTCAGTTTACTGATCGCGTCATCATGCCTGAACCAGCAAAGTCCGCTCCTAAGAAGGGATCCAAGAAGGCCGTCACCAAGACCGCCAGTAAGGGAGGGAAGAAGCGCAGAAAGTCCAGGAAGGAGAGCTACGCCATCTATGTCTACAAAGTCCTGAAGCAGGTCCATCCCGATACCGGCATCTCCTCCAAGGCGATGGGCATCATGAACTCTTTCGTCAACGACATCTTCGAGCGCATCGCCGGTGAGTCATCTCGCCTCGCGCACTACAACAAGCGCTCCACCATCACTTCCAGAGAGATCCAGACCGCCGTGCGTCTGCTGCTGCCCGGAGAGCTGGCCAAACACGCCGTGTCCGAGGGAACAAAGGCCGTCACCAAATACACCAGCTCAAAGTAAAGCGGGATATGAGATTTCAGCTACCACAAAGGCTCTTTTAAGAGCCACCCATTTTCTCCGTTGAAAGAGCTCCTGTTTGTTTGCTGATAAAATGGTGAAAATTGCGCATTCTGATAGATTATCTCTTTTCTCAGATGCGTGAATGATTAGTTCTCAGCTGTTGAAACCATAAAAACAATAAATGCATAACTCTTCATCTCACTCTTTCACTCATTTGAATAACTAGGAGCCACCACAAGTCAGCGACTTACAGTCTGCAACAACCATTTTCTCAACCAAGATTTAGCCACATTTTTTTTCATAAACACTTTCTAAGTGGTTGAAACACTGACTCCAATCAATAATGTAAGTGGTCTAAACCTAAATACATGTCCAAACATAATATAAAATAAAGCGCATACTTGAATTATTAATAACCTCTTCAGATGTTGCAAATACCACCTTCAAATCTAAATACAGAAATACCCTTGTAGTAAATTGGTAGATTTTCTAAACTAATTTGATGCTTTTTTAACTCCTTAACCATAGCGACGTACTAAAGATGACCTGAACTGAAATTTGAGAAAAGTTGATGCAACTGATGCATTTTATTGACTCTCATTGGTATAATTATTAAAATGGCAGAATTTGTTAAAAGGGATAAAATGGTACGTTGAAAATGTTTTTGTTACACGGGGCGTTACATTCGGCTACGTCACTGGCATGGTGTGCTATTATCTTGGTTGCAGTTCCATTAGAATTCCACTGGAGGTGATCGCGGCCGAGAGCAGAATGAATGGGAGTCTATGGGGCTAACGGCTAAATGTGTCTCTTTCACCTGCTTGTCGTTAAATCAAAATAGATTTTATTGTTTATTCCGCAAGTTCAATATAGATTATAGGCCAAAAGTCGAATGAACCAGCACTTATGTCCTTTTGATTTCTTACAGGTTAGGTAGGCTGTTGTTGGCCGGAACATGCTAGCATTCTGCTATTGTGTGACGTCATCACAGTTTTGAACAGATTTTTAGAACAGATAAGTGAACTTAAAAATGCAATTTTCAGCTGAGTGTATTTTCTTAGCCCTCCCTTTTGAATGCAACTTTCAAATTACTTGACAAAAAATTACATCCAGAGAAAAGGGGATTTCTGGGGGTTTAACCCCATTGACTCCCATTCATTCTGCACTCGACCGCGAGCGCCCCCGCATGGACAGAGACGCGTTACTGCAGCCAGTCCAGAACCCGGAAGTAACCAGCCAGTGCCAATTCTCTACAATTAGACATTCTCTGGAGCTACTCCGTTGCCTACCCGCACCAGCAGAACAGCCGTAGCTCATAAATCGCGTAGGATAAATAAATAAGATTTTTTTTTTTTTAGCGACAGAGTATAGAGATATGTACTTTCGTCAATGTCTGAGTTGCATGAAGTGTCTGACAATGTCTGCATCAAATGTTTTATTTAGCAAAGTTACAAGTTCAACGCATAACGTTAACGTTACTCAAATCCTTGATATTCGGCTGAGGGGAAAAGATCCCATAGTTCACTGAACAGGATGGGATCGGAATCCTATTCCTCCTTCCCAAATACCCCCTCGCCCAAAGAGTGAACTGCCAGTACGCTGTTAACCTAAACAGTCTGAGAAAATGATAACAAGTTAGCCTAGCCCATTCGCCATTCCGTAAAATACCCTGCTACTTATGGGGCGCTCCAGCGTCTCAGCTTGGACATCCATTAGAGATAGCATAGCCTCCTCCAACACATCTCGCTCACAGCACAGCATCCGAAATGAACGGTGCATGCATTTTGTTCCAGGTTGATCTCTCTGCAACAGATCGACTCCAGCGCCCGCGCCCACACCAGTCACTCCCCCAAACGACCCTGTACTGTAGTGGAGCCTGAAACTGATCGTCCTCGATGTGGTGGTGGTCAGACACTACTGGTGTGTCCCTCACGGGCTCAAATGCCGTTAAAAGTGCTCATTTTCGTCTATAGGACCTTATGCACCTTCACGGCTCCTACCATGCCAGTGACTTCATCGGAATGGCCAGTGCTCTTGTTCTAACAAGTGCAATTTTTGTGTTGCTTAAAAATGTGTTTTTTATTAAAAATTTTAGTTGCCACCACTAGAAGTGTTTCAATGCAAATTTACAAATGCACAAGAACCGATGCACAAATGCGTGAGGGGATTTACAAACGCGTGAAGTGATTTACAAATGCACAGGAACCGTTCACGAAGGCATGAGGTGATTTACAAATGCACAGAAAGCGTTCACAAATAAATACCAAGCAGAGTTGTGTTTGTGGCATAAAAAACATTTGGAAATATATATTTTTATTTGCAAATCTCATTTTATTTATTTGTGAGTTTTATATTTTTTGTGAAAACATTTATTTGTGGAACTTTATTTATTTGCAAATTTGATATATTTCTGTGAATCTCTTACATTTATTTGTGGATACAATATATTTATGTGGAATAAAGCAACAATTCTACCCCCATAGAACTCTCTATGTGCTCTATGAGATGGGATTTATCTGGCCTTCAGATGTCCTTCAAGATGGGTGAATTTGAACGATTTCTGGGTCACGGGCTGAAAGAATTCGGAGCAGCGAGCGGGGAAACATGGAACCATCAATTTGAGTATTGAGAAGCACCCACAGTATAGTCCTGGAAGTTTTATGTATTTTTATATTTTATATAAACAATGTTGAAGTCTCTGCGGTCACAGATTTAACATGTCAACTCCGTCATTTGCTTCTGCCATAAGCCCACATTATTTCAAATTGGTTTTAAAATAATCATGTTTAACAGCAGAATTACAGTGGTGGAAAATGTACAGTATCCATGATGATGTACAGAAAATTCCACCAATCAAAGTCACCAAAATCAAAATGCACCAAAAGAGCTCTTTAACTCTGCAGACTTCCATGAAGGACTGCGTATCAAGTTGGTCTCCTTACACTTTCAAAACACTTGAATATTTGTGTATACAGTAAGACTGGAAAACTGGAGGAACTGGTAGAGGAATGACACCTCCTTGAGAAGACAAAGAACCTTGCTGGAAATTACCATTTGAACTCACCATTTGAGACAAAAGTCTCACCTAACCAATATGTCTTCCCCCCATCCCCCACTTGTTCTATCACCAACACACACACATGAATATAAATGGTTTAATGTGAATGATTATTATCAAGTATTATACATGTTTAGTATCAGTTGAAATGTATCAGGGTAACTGGTACAAATGTCTCATTTCCAAATAAGCAAAACAAAAGGTAATAAGGTTTTTAAGAAATTGTAGATAACATGCACACAAAGGATGATGGGATGGTTAAACCCTCCTGCTCTCAAAAGGTATAACCTCTGAACACAAATTACCATTGTTAGCACATGTTTCCATGTGATAGAACTTTATAAAGAAATGCAGCAAAGGGTTTGGGCCATCTGTATCTCAGATCAGCCTGTGAATGTTGACAGCTGCCGGGACTCTAAGCTTCAAATATTTCCTAATGTTGAGTTTGCATCTCTTCTCTTTATGTTATTATGTTATGTTATTGATTATATTTGAACTGATTACGAAATTGGCATGATACATTTACCTGGCATGATAAATTGTTACATTTGATTATTCTAATTGACTTTGACATTATTTTCAATCAACCGTTTAAAAAGAAATCTCAAACATTCGCTCATATTTAATGATGCACGGATATCATTAAAATCTTTTAATTTACGGAGTCAGATGAAATGACGAGAAAATACATATGATAAATGTATTTTATTTAATCAAAATTACTTTGCCACACGGAAAGACAGTAACGCGCAGAGACCTTCCCTCCTGATCACAACACGGTATGCATATTTTGAAATAAACTTAAAATATATTGCATATTTTCCATATTTTGTTTTGAACGTGGTATTTGCATTATATTCTAAAACATCTGAGGATCCTTTTAATAATTCAGGTATGGGTTTTATTTTGTTTATGTATGGACATCAATTTATGTTTAAACTACTACAATTATTAATTGGTATCACGATGTTTCAACCACAATAAGTGTTTATGAAAAAATGTGGCTACATTAACCTTACCTTTAAAAAGAAAAAAGGGTTTTGCAAAGACTTTAGATCGCTGACTCGTGGCTCCAAAAGTTGTTCAGGAATGAATGGGAGGAGTGAATGAGAGAGATTATATTATTTAAGTTTTTTTGGTTTCAACAGTTATGAAGTCACTCACTTCTCTAATAATCTGATCATTTATCAGGATGCGCAGTTTTAATCATTTTAACAGCAACAAACTCTTTCAATGGATGAAGTGGGTGGCTCTTAAAAGAGCCGTTGTGTTAGCTGAAATCTCAGATCCCGCTTTACTTTGAGCTGGTGTATTTGGTGACGGCCTTTGTTCCCTCGGACACGGCGTGTTTGGCCAGCTCTCCGGGCAGCAGCAGACGCACGGCGGTCTGGATCTCTCTGGAAGTGATGGTGGAGCGCTTGTTGTAGTGCGCGAGGCGAGACGACTCACCGGCGATGCGCTCGAAGATGTCGTTGACGAAAGAGTTCATAATGCCCATCGCCTTGGAGGAGATGCCGGTATCGGGATGGACCTGCTTCAGGACTTTGTAGACATAGATGGCGTAGCTCTCCTTCCTGGACTTTCTGCGCTTCTTTCCTCCCTTACTGGCGGTCTTGGTGACGGCCTTCTTGGATCCCTTCTTAGGAGCGGACTTTGCTGGTTCAGGCATGACGATGCGATCCGTGAACTGACGACTCAATTTCAACACCAGTGCGATACAGAGGGATTTATTCGCTCCTTATGCAAATTTTCAAAGAGATTAGAGATTCTGCTGATTGTCTGTTTTCATAGGCCAAACCCATAAAATCGTGTTTCATTGGACAACTCAAAGAATCACGCGAGGAACAAGAGCCAACCACGAGCGGCTTACTGATAGCCCCTCCTACCGCCAAATGTTTGAGTGACACCGTTTCCTTTGTTCATTTCCCACTATTTATTTTCAGTTAAATATAATTTTGAAGAAAATGACAATGTTATGGATAATCGTGTTATCTGAACCATAGCAACGATAAGATACCTTTAAAAATAGCTTTCATGCCAGAAGATTTCATCTCAAAGCAACTTTACCGCTAACTTTTATTTTCACCATCATCGTTTTTTTTGTTTGTTTCTGTTACCACTTTAAATTGTAATTAGGTGGTGAGGAAGTTTTCTTAAGAAAACTCTAATATTTGTGTGAATTTAATGCTATTATATGGCGTAATATACTTCTAATGGGCACCGTATAATCATTAGAAATAGTAGAATCTAATCTTGAAGAATTATCTTTCTTCCGTGATTCATACATAAATCTTAACGTACTTTCAAGAACGGTACTATTCTTTAACATCGATGTGGAAAGACTCTTTATGTGTCACAGTGTGTGGCTCTTAAAAGAGCCTTTGGGTTTGTGTCGTTTATCCCCCGAAGCCGTACAGAGTGCGTCCCTGTCTCTTCAGCGCGTACACAACATCCATGGCGGTGACGGTCTTTCTCTTGGCGTGCTCGGTGTAGGTGACGGCATCGCGGATCACGTTCTCTAGAAACACTTTCAACACTCCGCGGGTCTCCTCGTAGATCAGACCGGAGATGCGCTTGACGCCGCCGCGGCGAGCCAGACGACGAATGGCGGGTTTGGTGATACCCTGGATGTTATCGCGCAAAACTTTACGGTGACGCTTAGCGCCTCCTTTCCCGAGTCCTTTACCGCCTTTGCCTCTTCCAGACATGTTTCACAGACACAATTCAAACAATGACTACAAATAATGTTCAGCGCTGCAAGGAGGCCTTTTGTATTTACTTACAGGACCTGAAAGAGACCAATACCGCGTCACAAGGCGCAAAACGCCCTCCCCTCAATATAGTTCAAGCACAAAACCACTGTCTATGCAGAAAGATAAACAATTAACGTTAATGATGGTTTTAAACTCAGTAGAGGGGAGTAGGTTAATAATAAAGTTTTTAAGTAGAACAAATTTGATCTTTAGAATATAGATAGGCTATTAGTATTAGTATCAGTATTCTTTTCTGGAAGATGGTGGACTTTGGCTGTAAATGGAGGAGCTGAACATGCAGCAACATTGAAAGCACAAGTCCTGATTGTTCTGGGAGTTGTGATATAGTGTCTCTGATCTATTCCTAGAGTAGATGGCGTGAATGCTCTTTTTAAGAATGCGAACTGCCAATAAGCTCAAAGAAGAAGAAGAAGACTGTCTATGACCTTGGAAAGTCCCTGAACCGCTTGTAGTTTTGAGTTTATTAAAAAAGTCCAAAGAGTACATTGGAAAGGAGATTAATGCCTTTTTAAATAACACATTTTATACAGTATTAAAAATATTTACAGATGGTTCTAAGGAACCTATCAGTCAAAAGGTTGAGTAGGAGTGTTTATTCCACACTTTAAAAAACAGATTAGTTTGAGGTTGACTGATGAGGTGTCCGTGTACACTGCAAAGTTAACAGCTATAATAATAGCACTACAATGGGTTGAACAAGTCAGACCAAATAAAATAGTCATATGTTCAGATTCTTCTTCAACTTTAATTAGTATATTACATGCAAGATCAGACAGAGAAGATTTGATAATGGAAATATATTTATCATTATAGAGACTGAAAGAGGCTGGAATAGTAGTGTATTTTTGTTGGGTACCAGCACATGTTGGGGTATCTGGTAATGAAGTTGCTGATAAACTAGCAAAAAAAGCACTAGAAAAGAGAGAGGTGGATGTTAGAGTACCTATGGGAAAAAGGAAGCAAATTTGATTTTAAAGAGGAAGTTAATAAATAGATGGCAAATTAGATGGGATAGTAGTAGCAAAGGGAGGTGGTGTCATAGGAAATAGGAAAGAAGAGGTTTTGCTGTCTAGGTTAAGACTGGGACATACAGGGTGTTAAATCAACACTGGCAATTATGGGATTACACGAGACTGGATTATGTGATGAATGTGGTGTATCTGAAAATGTTTGTCATGTATTATTTAGTTGTAGTAAATAAAATATTTTTCGGGATGTGTTATTCAGTCATTTGAAGAATGGAGAGGAAAGAATGAAGAATGAGGGTATTCTAGGAAAAGGTTTAATGGACAGACAGATATGTAGAGCATTATTTACATTCATATATGATTCAGGTTTGGGATATAGATTATAATAAGTGTGTAATGTTGAACCTGCCATGGGGGATGAGTGTGGACGGAGGAGCTGAACACGCAGCGACGGATGAAGCCCAATGAAACCTCTATTGCAGGTATGATAATGAATGTTGATGTATGTGGGATGATATAGGTAGAAAGGTTTTTTTTGGGGGGGAATCCAGACTCATCACCCAAGGTTAATTTGCCATCTAGCAGCACAGTAAGTGGCGATAATGCTCCTTAGGAGTTAATCGCCATTAAACAGGAAGAAGAAGAAGAAGACTGTCTATGCACAAAACAAATGTGATGCAACCCAAACCATAATATAACGAGGCCTGTCCGGCTTCTTTCATACGTTTTAAGATTTATTTGATTTGATGAAGATTGTCCTCATATAATATACAGAGAAACTGAATGGTAATGAAATGGGCTAGTCTATAAGACGGTGTAGTTTTTTTTCCTTATTGGACAATTTGGATATATTTGTACCTGTATAAAAGCAATATCACATCAGTCAATTGTGAATGATATTTCTGTTAATCTCTATAATAGTTGATCTATTATTCGTACCCTGCAAAACTGTTAAAAAAATATATATTCTATAAACATAAACAGTATTTATTCTATACAAATAATTTACCTTACAATTAATTCAATAAAAATTGTTTTATTTATTCGTACCCTGCAAAACGGCTATAAAAATATTTTATAAAGATCAACAGTATTTATTCTATAAAATAATTTAACTTACAATTCATATACTTATTTTATTTTTATTATGATAGTTATGGTACATTATCATTTAAAGAACGGTGGCCCATATTAATGTAATGCATGACTTTCTAACGTTACTCATTTAGAAATAAACTGGAAATGACCTCATTCAGTGCAGTTTTGGTGGCTCTTAAAAGAGCCGTTGTGGGTTGAATCAGACGCAAGTTTAAGCGCGCTCTCCGCGGATGCGGCGGGCCAGCTGAATATCTTTGGGCATGATGGTGACCCTCTTGGCGTGGATGGCGCACAGGTTGGTGTCCTCGAACAGACCGACCAAGTAAGCCTCGCTGGACTCCTGCAGGGCCATGACAGCGGAGCTCTGGAAGCGCAAGTCTGTCTTGAAGTCCTGAGCGATTTCTCTCACCAGCCGCTGGAAGGGCAGTTTGCGGATCAGCAGTTCGGTGGACTTCTGATAGCGGCGGATCTCCCGCAGAGCCACGGTCCCGGGCCGGTAGCGGTGAGGCTTCTTGACGCCGCCGGTGGCCGGAGCGCTCTTACGAGCGGCTTTAGTAGCGAGCTGCTTCCTCGGGGCTTTACCACCGGTGGATTTACGAGCGGTCTGCTTGGTTCTTGCCATTGCTGCGAGTTTCTTCTCTTTGTCCTGCTAATGCTGGAAATGCTGTTCTCTGTCTTAAACGGCCGATTTTAAAGCATTGGAGCGCCACGAGCCTATTGTGCGCGATGATGCAGGCCTTGTGATTGGTTAGTATGTGACGTCAGCGCATGAGTGCCAGCCAATGACAGCGCGTTTCCTCTTTTCAAACAAGCGGAGGGTTTCCATTGATCACTTTCGGCGCCTTTTTACTCGCAACATTGTATTTATTTGTAAGTCCCAGTGGTTGTGCAGATCTCGGATTACAACAAAATCACATTACAGTCTGTATAAAAGCATTGCAGCGAGACGCACTACTAAGGTGTCCATCCTCCCGGTGAAATAGTAGCTAGATAGCCCTGCTACTAAAGGGGAAAATACCCAGAGGAACATTAACCAAATCCTTTTTCCCTGAAGCCGATATAGCCTATATGTTAATTTCCTTTTTTATGAATAATTTTTAATATATTATCAGAGCTTCACAGACAAATAGATTTAATTGGTGGTAAACACATATTAAAGGAGATCCTAATGTGCTTATATATAAGACAGTTATATAATATGCATAGAACACATAATATCGGTGTTGACGCTAGTCGTTAGGGGCCATTTTTCTCTTTAAATAAATCATTTATGTTGTTAGCAACATTAAAAGAGAAAAGCGCTCGTTGACAGATAAAATGGGTGGCTCTTAAAAGAGCCTTTGTTTTGTTAACGAAATCTTCGCTCCGTTTACTTCGATTTGGCGGGTTTCTCGGTCTTCTTGGGCAACAGCACAGCCTGGATGTTGGGCAGCACGCCGCCTTGAGCGATGGTCACTCGGCCCAGAAGTTTGTTGAGCTCCTCGTCATTACGCACCGCCAGCTGCAGGTGACGGGGGATGATGCGGGTCTTCTTGTTGTCCCGAGCGGCGTTTCCAGCCAGCTCCAGGATCTCAGCGGTGAGATACTCGAGTACCGCCGCCAGATAAACAGGAGCTCCGGCACCGACGCGCTGGGCGTAGTTTCCTTTGCGCAGAAGTCTGTGAACACGGCCGACAGGGAACTGCAGTCCCGCCCTGGAGGAGCGAGTCTTAGCCTTTGCTCGGGCTTTACCGCCGGTTTTACCTCTGCCACTCATCTTCAAGTTAGTTAATACAAGCGAATGAAATAAAATGAAGTAAGCGTGTTACCATTGACTGATTTTAATCCAGAG